GGGGTGGGGAATTTAGGGGGTACTTCTAAATTGTATCTTTCTAGTAAGGGTTTCAATGGTACTTTTATTATACCGTACTGTGGCTGGCTTTAACACCAGTGTCACTTGGGAGTTCTTGGCTATAAATAGAACAATATACCCATTGCTATTGTGAATGTTTATGTGTGATCTACTTGTAATCAGTTTGAACTCCAGCAGAATCCTTGGAGACAATAATTCATGCTTAGGTTACAGTGAATTCTCTTGCTGCAAAGTAAAGGAAAACCAACATTCAGGTTGAAATTTTAAAGTACTTCATTAAGCATCGTGATGCAAATTGTCTGTCACTCACAAGGCAAATGTTGAAAGAACTAGTGATGGTGCTTTGTTCTACAGAATAATTTATAAACCTAGAAAACTCCTCCTTTAAAACACTGGAAGTACTGAGTATTTATCTCTGCTATGAGAAAGAATTTCAGGTTGGAGTTTTTGTATCCGTAGTGGCAGAAGTATCAGATTAAAATTTAAATGTGACAGCAAAGATTTCCTTGCCTAGCTCACAATTAAGTAAAGTCATCATTTTTGTTTCTACCTGCTGAGTTGTATTTTAAAAGGTATTAGACACATACCTGAAGTATGTTATCTGCTGGGAACAAAAGCCTTGTCAGAAGAGTCAGGTCTGATAAGAGCGATTGTGGTACCATCACAATAAATCAAAAATGTTTTTGTATTGACTAGCTTTTGTGTTGCACAGTAACACTGCATGTCTTCTACTGCTCTTTTCCCCCATCCCAAAATGAGTGAAATTAGGAAACTTCTCCATTTGTCTGTTTGCCTTTTTCCCCTAGTTCAGCAAAATTTCCAGGCTTAGAACTGCCTTTTTTTAGTGAACGATAGCTGACTGAAGAAAAGTACTCTAAAATATTGTGTTTACAGTTCTGTGCTGACTTAGGCTTCAGCCTTACAAACTTATGTGCAGACTTTTAAGACCTTACATTTAATGCCACTCTTAAATTTAGTGCAATTGTACAGAGTATGTTTCAACAACAATCAGTTTGCCTTCATCTTTCTCTTAAAAATAATGAGGAAAAAAATCTTTATATTGATCCATATTGACTGTGTGAAAACAGTCTTTGCATACCTTTCACATACAGCCTATACTGCATTATATGCTTTTTCACAGATAATACACTCTTGTAGTGGTTCCGTGATAACATGGCCATTTGTGTAACTGCAACAAATAACAGTAGTGACTTAAAGACAGAACACAGGTTCTCTTTTTCCATCTCATGTCTGTTGAGCTGTATTGCTCTAATAAGCATGTCATCTTATGGGTTTCATGTAAATGACTTGGACTCTTGAGTTTTGCCTTCTGTTATGGTCGAGCACATACCAGTATCTGTACATGTGTACAGTATGTGATACATAATTGCGTAATGTATAAATGCACCTAAGCCTTTGCAGTACATATATATACCAGAGGTTGAGAATTCAATATGAAGCTTTCTTATTTATATGATACAGGTTACCTAGCAGCAGCCTCATAATTTTTTTCATTTTGCTTTGCCAATTTTAAGTGCAGAAATTAATTGTTAACCATAGCAAACTATTTTGGAATTTAAAAAAAAAAAAAAAGGCAAGAAACAATTACAGCAAAGTAGAATGAATAGTATCTCATGCTGTGTCCTCTGCTTTACTCCTTAGCAGTTCTGACTAAATCATGCAGATGCAACTTTTCATCTGCTAAGTACTTGAGACACAATCCATGATTCCTAATTTACATGGAATTATCCAAATCTGTGATGACTACAGAAATACTCCCTGAAATTGAGATACTGCAACAACTGAATTGAATGTTTTTCCTTCATGGATTAAGTACATTTGCTGTTATTCTCCATCTTTGAAAGCTGGTCTTACAAGCGATGCAAAAGTATTCCTTATCACACTTTGTCTGTGTCATTTAAGCTTTTAATGAATCTTTTACTCATTGACAGTAAAGAACTTCACTAGTTCTGTTACTTACCATTCAAAATATTTGGCAGTATCGCATAGTATTTTATGTCTTGAAGTTTATAAGTACTGATACAGAACATGTCTCCCTAGCAAATTTGTCAAATTGGCAATAAGTTCTTCTAGTAATGTCTCCAGTCAATCTGGTATTGTTTCTAATGTAGAACTCTTCAAACCATATAAAATATATGTTTTCTATAGTATAATATCCATTAGAATTAAAAATTTTGGCTCCACTGGTTGTGGTTTGACTTGTGTTCCAGGTGTGTAAGAGGAGAAAGGTCATGACAAAATGTTATTCTTTGTTAGCACCTAAACCAACAAAAATAGGCACAATTGACTGTATTATCTAAGAAAATTTAGTCTGTCTTAGCATTTACAGGGTGCAGATTCAGACGTGTAAATTTTTTGTAGAAACAAACTTACACCTGCACTTTCAAAGTCAAAGCCACTGAAAATTAAAGATTTGAAGCTGCATTTGAATTTCACGGCTCAAGTACATGCTGAGATTTAATTGTTCAAAATTCTGGAGTTGAACTCATAAATAGAGTAAGACATCTAGATCTCTAAGACATCTGGCTCATTAAGTTAAACTGCCAAAAGCCGTTCTTCCTTGCATTTTTATCCTGCTAAAAATGATCTTGCCCAAGATCAATAAGAATATATAAAAGCACTAAGAGATCTCTCCTTTCCTAGAAGTGTTAGACTTTATACTCCCAGAATGGTATCATCTTTGTTAATAATTCCAATTGCTTTTTGCTTCTAAGCCCAGTAAAGGTAAAAGGATTGTTTGAAGCCATATCTGAGCATTTCTAATGTATTAAGAAATGGTGCCTGAAAGGTAAGCACTAAGTGAGAAAAATAGTCGACATAGCATGATACTCATCTGAGATGTTGCATATTTTATTACAGCACTGACAGAAACTCCATTGTTATAATTAATCTATCAGTTTTGTACAGTAGTGCGACATTCTCCTGTAATGGTTCAACTCATGGCAGTATTTTCTTTTTTTTAATAAGTGACCATTACATAAATCCAGCAGGTTTTTGTAGTTGGAATATATGACAAAACATATTTACGTTGGGACATGCAGTGTGGCATTTATCTTTTTATGTGTCACAGACTTCTTTCATGTAATTAAACTTAGAAAGTGTATTCACTTTGCTGTGACTGCATTTAGTGTTAAAATTGTAGGGATAGCAAATAGCACTATTTGTGTTAAAAAATAGATTGTTAGATGCTCAAACAATTATGACCCTCTTGAAATAATGCATTTGCCTCAAACACTGTGATACAGGAACAGTTCTGTGAAGTGGAACAATTAATTTGTTCATTCTAAACAAGGAAAGGCTTTCTGCACACTACTACAAGGAAGTTCATGTTCAAACTTTAGGCTATATATCCCAGTTTAGCAAAGGCACATCATAACTCTTGTTTTGCTTTCTGACCAAAAACTGTGCTCGATTGTAATACGGGTGTATACTCTGTCAAAAAACCTAAAATAACAGACTGCTTTCTAGGGTAGATCAAACTGATTTGTAGAGTAGATTCATATATATTCAAAATTCAGGTTGGGCTGTTATGTGAAGAAGAGAGAACTTCAAGGTAACAACATTCAACTTTACTACATTTAGTGAGCTGAAAAATTTGTTTTATATATATATATATTTACACACACATATATATATATATGATACATATAAACTATCTTTGTAAAAAAACAAAAAATATGCAAGTGCAATAATTTAAAGAGGTCTTAACTTTGCATTTATAAATTATAAATACTGTACATGGTGTGTAATTTTTTTCATGTATTCATTTGCAGTCTTTGTATTTAAAAAACAAACCTAAACCTTTACTATTACATTTGTACAATAGAACAGTAAACATTTATTATGATAGCTAAGTTGTAAATAAATTCACAAACCAGCCAGTACATATGCATATATGGGTGTCCTATTGTGAAACCTGTTTTTGCTTTTACTGCTGGCTTTAGCACAGCAAGACTACTTCTGTGGATATGTAATTATACATATAAATATATGTATGATACATAAAATATATTTAGAAATGTTCATAATTTTAATGGATATCTCTATACATATACTTTGGTGTGAATATTACTGAATACAGAGTTTTTTAATATTATTTTTCATGTTTATTTTTGCTATTATTGGGAGTGAAAGTGAGGGATGGGAAGTGTGTGCATATATGCGTGTTTATACCACAAGTAAACCACAGGATGAAGGGATTCAAAACATAACAGAATCCTTCAAAAAGGGTAGTGCCTGTTTTTCCCTGTAATTGCAGTTTACTACTTATGATGTGTTTTCCCAACGTAAGTTCCTCCTTCTTTTTAAAAAAAGAAAACATATTTTCATCTACTGCAAGTTCACATTGTCACAAGCTGCAAAAGGATCCACTTTCCCGTTTGCCCTCCTGCAACCTTGCCGTTGACAGAGACTTCCACACAGATCCTTGCTTTGCTGCTGTCAATTGGCAGTACAAATAATGCAGAATCATTTGCCATCTTTTGGGAATTATCTTAGCATCTCAGATACTGAGGTGCTGAGTTATAGAAAAATAATCCCTCACGCAAATTTTTGTTTGCTAATCCAAAGCGATATAGGGCTTTGACAGCTGCCAATACCCTGAATATACAGGGTAGGTTCTGGGAACTGTAAGGCAAAATTCTGAACAACACATTAGCAGATATTTGTAAAATAGGTGAAAAAAAAAAGAGGGGGAAAAATCCTATTTATCTACCTAATACACTGATTTGCTTCAAAGATCTCTTGCACTGTTCATGCTCATTAAACAGGGTATTCGCCATTTGTAGACCTCAAAACGGCCCTGTGCCTTTATGCTTCTGCATGACCTTTCCCTTCTTGGAGAAAGATGTTGATCCTCGGATAGAGAGTTCAACCTGAGCTCTTCTGT